CGAGGAGCTGCCCAGCCTGATCGCTTCCCAGTCAACACGAGTTCGGTACCCGGCGCCCCTTGGAAGTTCGGCGATCACCGCTCACAGGCAGATTTTCTCCATTGGAGAGGGCCCGAAAAGAAGACGAATAAAGTTAACTGAATTTGTGTCGCTTTTTATTCCCAAGTCCAGCTCACCCGGTCTGGGACTGGCTATGCCCCGGCTTTCCAAGGGCGACTCACCATCACCAGGGACAATTCTGGAAGCACGGCCTGGCTGCAGCTTTAGTCCCTCCAGAGAGCGTTTGCACCGGTCAACAGTCCGGGATAATTTCGCCCCAAACTTCATAGCCCCGTGACTCACTTAAGTCGCATGGTAATGAAAGTTTTCTGGCTGAAGCGCTAAGTCACTTTTCAAAGTATGAATTAGGCCCCTGTGTCACTTGTGACACCAACAAAATATCCCTGAGCAAATGTCGTGAATGCAAGACAATGGGAGGCGTGGGGGAAGAATCTTTCAATATCTCCTGTTGAAGCTAATACCCATTAAGTCTGAAAAAATTAAGGGGGGGTTCCCCCCATGTCACCCTCCCTTTCACAGTGGAGGGTGGGGTGTCAAATCCCTGCTCCCACATCAGGCTTAGGAAGGATGATCTTGGCTGTATCATTTGCTAGGCACGTGATCTAACCACTAGGCAATAGGAAGCACCATCAACTCCTTCTGTGGTCAAGGGATTTGGGGGCGCTATTATCAGCGAATCCCAACTGGAGCTCGGTACCTAACCCCCTTCTCGGCATTTGCTCGAGCTAGAAGCTGCACGAAGCAACCCTCCCCCGTGTGGTGGCTTTGGAAGGCCCCGTAGCTCTGTGATCACCGTACCCAAGGAGGCTGAGGTGAATACGGTGAAGTGGGTGCACGCTAGGGGCTGACCCTGGCAGACCGAATCAGGCCCGCGGGCCAGTATTAGCGCTCCGCTGGTCTGAAGCAAGTTGCAAGCGACCGGAAGTCACATGGCATATTCACCTTACCCGTGTGTCCCTGGACGAACCCCCGACACGTGTATGTTCCTATCAGCCCTGGTACCTGCTTCTCACCGCACTGGGAAGCTCTTTCTAAGGAGAGGTCAGTTCTGTTATGTCGTGCTTCACGGATGGGGAAACTGAGGTACAGGGAGCTGAAGGGATTTGCCCGCCGTCACCCAGCAGGAGGGACACAGTCAGGATCCGCATGTAAGTCTCCTGAGTCCGAGCCCGGTGCTTTGTCCACACAAGCCAGCATGCTCTGTACTCAGCAATGCCCACGTGACCCGTGCGGTGCAGCAGCTCAGACTAGGGGATCCCAGCAGAGATTTCTGGTAACAATAACTAAACAATAAAATAATAAATCGTGTCCCTCCCGCTGGCTCACCCACGTGTGCAGGCCCCTCACAGATACCTCAGGGTGATGGATATGGACCCTTCCCAAGGCCGGGCTCGCTGTGACTGCGGGTCTGTGCAGCGCCGAGCACAACGGGGCTGCGGACTTGGGTTCGGTTTCTAGGCGACACCTCGCTGGGGACGCGTGGGAGCCGCACGAGCCGCTCGCTGGGGACTATGAGGCCGGGGCCGCATCTCTGGGCACTAAAGAGCGAACGAACCGGCCCCTGCTTTGCATGCCGCGCGCGCTATGCAAATGAGGGGTTTCTTTCCCCTCCAGCACAGACTATTTCTGCCCTCTCGTCCCTCGGCCCCTCCCAACGCCCAGCCCGTGTCGCTCCCTCCGGGTCTCGGTGCCTGTGTCTGTCCGGCTGCCCAGCGGGGAGATGAAATTCCTGCTCCCGTCTCTCCTGCTCTGTGCCCTGGCGGCAGGTAAGTGCCTCGGCGCGAGCTGTCTCTGCCCCGCGGAGCCCGCCGCGCCCCGCGCTCTGGCTGAGGTTTCTCCTGGCTCTTTGCAGGTGGCCGCTCCCAGGTGACACTGCGGCAGCCCGGAGCCGCCCAGGTGAAGCCTTCGCAGACCCTGAGCCTCACCTGCTCCGTGTCCGGATTCTCTCTCACCACTAGCGGGATTAGAATGAACTGGATCCGACAGCTGCCGGGGAAAGGCCTGGAGTGGCTGTGTCTGGTGTACTGGGATGATGACAAGCGCTACACGGAGTCCTTGAAAAGTCGCTTGAGCATCTCCCGGGACACGTCCAAGGGCGAGGTGTATTTGGAAATGAGAAACCTGGAAGCCGGAGACAGCGGCACCTATTACTGCGCCAGGAGACACAGTGACACAGAGCCCAGCAGGGACTCGCACAAAAAGGGGAAGCGGATTCCCAGCAGCGTAGCAAGGCTCAGAGCAAAGAGATTTCCCGAACCGACCTTACTGTAAATGGGAAGGAAATGGAAAAAGGCAGAAACGCAACTGGGCAGTTCTCCCTGAATGGCTGGGGGGGGATTTTTTTTCAAGAAAGAAAGAAAGAAAGAAAGAAAGAAAGAAAGAAAGAAAGAAAGAAAAGTTCAGGTTCAAGTATGGAGAGGGACTGAGGGAGGGAAGAAGGAGTGTAGACATAGCCGAAAGGAGGGAGCGGGAGATGAAGTGGTGGGTGGGTGAGTGGGAGGGAGGGGGGTAAGGAGGCAGGCAGATGTGTGAGGGGAGGCAGATGGTACTTCACATTCTTCCCAGCACACACACGGCAGGTAGGAAAACGGCGACCCTGGTTGCTAATGTTTGCTGAAATGCCCTTGTGTGTTTCCTAACCTGTCACGCGAATGTCCCTGACTCTGTTCATCTGCCACTGACCTTAACTCCTTGCCTTAAAAAAGTCAGTCTGAGTAGCAGATGGAGTGTGAGGGGAGGCAGATGGTACTTCACATTCTTCCCAGCACACACACGGCAGGTAGGAAAACGGCGACCCTGGTTGCTAATGTTTGCTGAAATGCCCTTGTGTGTTTCCTAACCTGTCACGCGAATGTCCCTGACTCTGTTCATCTGCCACTGACCTTAACTCCTTGCCTTAAAAAAGTCAGTCTGAGTAGCAGATGGAACGAACAGTTCAATGATGCACAGGTGTGAACAGGGCATCCCCGCATCAGCGCCCCCCCTCCCC